GTAGATTGATTTCATCACTTATTCAAATAGGGGGAAAATAATTTTGTTAGGCGATACTACATGTACAGTTTTTTGGTAGTTATTTGTTGTTGTTTTTGTACGTTCAGTTTGATTGTTCCCTTTTGCCTTTAAATTTGCCTCCCAAGTCATTCGACAACCTCTCGGAATTGTCAAGGAATCTATCAAAATAATTCAAACGTCAAATAAACATCTGGACCACTTTATTTTTACGCTGAGATCGCTAACACACTGGAGAAATCCAGATGTTGGGAGAGTAGTACAATTGATTTGGAGGCAAGAAGTTATATTATTTTGTCAGAACCAGTATCGACGGAGCAAAATTTACTTTCTCATAAGCAGTTTTTTATTTTTAACTTACGTCTACCTTTTTTTAGTAACCACTATCAACGGTGCAGATGTCTTCAGCATACATTTTCTCATATTTGCCAATGCACATGGGACTTAGTTTGACCTCAGTTGTGTCTACTATTCTAAATTCTTTAACTAAAGTCTGCCATGTTGAAAACGTCATCACGTAAGCATGTCCCTCCTAATCTACCTTTATTTTAAAATTAAGGCTGAACCAGTCTCAATGCTGTCTTCGCTAAAATTCCAAGGTCAGAAATGAACAGAAGAAATAAGTTTAAGAAAACCTCTCTATTGGAAATACACTCAGTACTTAATGCCAACGGACATTCTGGCAATAAACATAGCAGGAACTTGTAATATCGGTAAGATATCTTGAAGCAGTCTACTAGTTAGTAATAACATCTGTGCTATTTAATGATTTCTTTGCTTTGCTCTTTTTCAAGGTGGTTGCTAATATGATTGAATGCTATGATATATTTCATACAATGAAAATAAATTTTGCAAAATAGGTTCTAATACGGCGAGCAGCGAATTGCTCCTATGAAGTTTCTGAATAAGCTGCGGCCAAATTCTCTTTCTTTTAATGTTAGACTTAGATGTACTTCTGCTTGCGGCTCATCTTTGAGGAAAACTTTTGATGGCAAATCGGTGAAGTCTTGATTTTATAAATGATCTTTGGCATACTTGACAGATGCAGCAAATGAATTAATGTCAACATCATGACGCATCATATAACTTGATACGAGACGGTAGACTTCACGAAATTTTTATTTTGTATTCCGTATACCAGTAGAAACTTTGTCAGAAATGAATTTTTTTAGATCAGCATCATACATGACATTCTTGCATGTTTATAAGCATATCGTCTAATAATATTAGTGTCATATGTTATGAAAGTTTCTTTTCTTTCAACACTAGATTTGGTATAATTTATGACTATACCATAAGGTGCCACATAGACCAAGTAGATCAGGAAAATGTTTAATTTTGCTTGGCAGCGAGTTAGGAAAGTTTTTTGCCGAAAAAAAAAGATCTGCGTCGTACTCGTGTCTTTTGGAATAATTTAATACGTGATGGTGTGCTTCAGCAATTTATTTTAGTTTCTGCTGACATGTCTTCATGTGTAAGGATTCACGTTCACTGCTCGAGTTCTTGGATTTCTGCTTCAAGCTGTGGTATCTTTGGCTTAGTCTTGGGCAGATTTTCTGAATGCAGCTTTTCCTGTATTTATTTGTACACGGAACTAGCCAATCGACTGTAATCCTCAGTCAGAGCTAAAAGATCCACAAATTTATACTCGATGCAATTTTAAAATTATACAGTGATACGAACATGAAATTTTACTTGCATTTCACTGCGGTGTCGCTAACAAGAAATCAAGAAATACATCTGTTGGAAATTAATGAGTATAACACATGATATTTCCCAATTATTAAGTTGTTGTTGTGGGGCTTAACGCCATTTTTCAGCACACGATAGGTTATACATGGCGGCCAGTATTAATGGTGGAGATAGAAACCGGGATATCACCGGAAAGAACCACCGACCCACGACAAGCTACTGGCAAGTTTTTTTACATATCCACATTCGCAGAATCCTAGACTCGAACCCACGCAGACTAAGGTGAGATGACAGTGATCCGTAACGGACAACGCTTTACACCACTCAGGGCCATCTATGCAAACTACAGTCACATAGTCAAGTCTATCTCTGTTATGACAACAATTTTCCGATGCATCACAACTTTGCCTCTATCAAATAAAAAATATTTTGTTAGTGTCTCTATTCAATAAGAGAAACAAACTGCCTATTATATATAACGATTACAAACATGAGCTTCCTTCTGAAATGGCATGCCCTTTACTGGCTACGAGAAAATGTTTATCATAAAACAGCGTTAAGTTGCTGCCATATGACATTTTGATCACGACCGTAGAATATAATAAAAAAATTGTTAGATAGGCTTTTTCGGCACCATGGTATAAAGTTTTGTGTTAGTGTTGGTGTCGTTTGCAAAGATAAATGACACTGAAAAATGGAGGTTCATTTTAGTTCTCTGCCGGTGATAGCATTTGACTAGGAAACACCTGATATCAAAAAAGTGTTTTAGCTCGGTCAGAATCAAGATGAAAACATTTCAAATAGGAGCAGAGCGCTGGATTCTGGCCGACTAATCAAGATGCGTACCAAGCACGTCAAAATATAACCCACTGCTTGGTCGGTCATATTTGGAACTTCCCGCAAAACTCAAGAGGTATGTGATCGTCAAAACTAATGACTGCAGATGTTTAACGTGGGCTGTGATGTCCTCCGTCTATCCTAGATGCTGTTGATGCCGTTTTATGCATTATGTCTGCGTTATTTCCCGCTGCATAAAATAATAAAAAAAAATCCAGAGTTAGTGCTCCCCATCAAACTTTTGTTGAATTTTACTAGAATAACTTTTCCAGTACAAACAAATAACGTTCCATATATTTTAAGACTAAATATGATTTCGGTAAAAAAAAAAATTGGTGACTGCGAAAGTATCTATCCTCTGCAAACTTCTTCGGTGACCTCTGAACGTGAATTTTACTTGATATACGTAGATGTCCATTACGCTTGGATTTAGAGTTTATCAGGTTTGATAAATGGCCAATACAGTAAACAGAACTGCAAAATATATTACTGCAGAAAGTGTCCCCACGGATTTGTATGCATGAGAGAGATCATGTCAGACAAAACTAGAGTGAGCATGTCATTCAAAAATAGAGCAATGTCATAAAATACTAACATCGAAATTTGAAAACTTTAGTCGTATGATACATGCCATTTATAATGTATGCTGCTTTTGAGTTGCTCCCTGGTCTCATGTTAGGAGCACAATGTGATCTACTAAGTCTTCTACAATAAAATATCTAGCTTCTCGTGGGTCGGTGGTTCTTTCCACGGATTTCCCGGTTTCTTCCTCCACCATTATTACTGGCCGCCATGTATCGTGTGGTGAAAAATGGCGTTAAGCCCCAAAACAACAACAATAAAATATCAGGAACATGAGATGAACATTCCGTACAGAGCCTCCTAGGAGACGTTCGTTGCAATTATCGTGCTCCAGCTGAAGAAAAAAATAATCTTGTGATGCAGACGATAGAGATACCTTTATGACCTCGACTCTTGGCTGGATTTGTGAGCAGTCATATAGACTGAGATCACTGTCATTTCACTGGTCCAAATCGCGGAAATCGCTCATAAAACATGCAACCTGAAATTGGGGACGCCAGAATTTAGTCACGTTGTAATTCATCATCTCAATGGATACTACCTCATCTCATGTGAAAGATTTTGTAAAATTCGAGTAGAAAATAACGTGCATACTCAATAACCTAGAGAAATATATATCATTATACCTTTCTGAAATGCATTTCTTAGACAGCAAGCATTTTACAAATACTTCATTTGCGAAGCTTTGTTAAGAATATTAAAAAAATATTCAGGTACATTGCTAAAGGATGCGAAAAGCTCAACCAGCTCACTCGCAAAGGATGATATCCTTATGAATACACGACTTCATCGTAAAAACATTTGAGACAACGTTGCCGGAAAAATAAATAAAAAAAATAATTCGACAGCAAGTTAGGTAACTATATTTCTGAAGAAAACGCCCACCCTAGTAGCATTTGGACTGAGCTCGGTATAACAAAAATGGCGACTATCAGTTCTGCATTCTGGCTATCCCACCCGGTTCCTTCATATAACAATGTCCGTACCACACTCTTGCCGTCTGTGTAGAACCTGTTATTATTCATATAGTCTCCAAAGTTATATTTTTCCAGTGATTAATTATCTTGCATAGTAGAATTACCCCCGATACTTTCAGCATAGTTCATCTCCCCAAGTATAAAAGACGCTTTAAAGACAACCTATCCCATTTACATTAGATTTTTTAACACCATTTTCTTTCTCCCATGCTGTTTCTGACAAAATTGCTTGACATGAGCTTGCGTAGACCTCTGTGTGTATGTGTGTGTGAAAGGTTTCTTGGCCATCGTAAAATTGAATTTAATATATGAAGTCATTCAAAGGTCACTATACTTAACAGAAACGAATTCATCATGATGGTTGGGTAAACTTCCAAATCAAATTTTCAAGGCAAATAGAGCAAACAAAACAGGTTTTGGGCTTTGATATTACGCTGCAGATCCGATTTGTTTGGGATCCATTAAAAAGACATTTATGTATTTAAATTATTTTTTTTTAAATGTAAGAATACAGAAGAAAAAAGTATTCAAATCGAAACATAAATAGACACAACAGCAACTAGAAGCAATTGCTGACAGACTAACACACATCTGCACGAATCATAACAAATACAAGGTGGAAACAGTACCATACTAAATGTGTGTGACTTAGATGTATGATTTGGATTTTTAACACAGCTTTTAATACTTTTTTTTAGTCATATTGCTACGATGTCTGCAGTGTGGCAGTTTATAAAAATGTCTATTCCCGGGGCGTCATGTCGCAGACATGTAGCATAATGTCCCACCTTGTCACATTATCCTGACACCAGGCCGACCAATCCGAACACTAACCACTTAATGCTGAGCGCTAAACAAGGCAGCGGCTAAAACCATTTGTATAAGTCTGTCGCATGACTCAGCCGGATTCGAACACGGGATCTTCCGCATCCGAGGCGGAAGTTCTAACCACTGAGGCGACCGGAGCGGTCTGGGCACACCAAAAGCTAAAAGCACATTTGGTCTAAGAGTCATGTCAGCTAAATTTAGGATTTTCATGACTGACATCACCGCTTTACTGCCCTGGTGACAAAAGATAAACTTGCATACAAATTTCAAATATCTTTATTCAAACTGCCAAATATGAATATTTTGACTTTGTTTCAATCCATTAAATAATTGGGAAATATAAGTTCTGAAAAATTTGAACAAGTATCTCCTATCCTTGGAAATGCTCTGTATTTCTGCCCCACAAACACCCCTCATCATGACCAGTTCCTTACAATTTTATGTACAAGATCCAGGTCCTTAACATCACACATGGATGATGAAAGACTTACCAGAATCATAGGAACTTTCGCTAGCATGCGCAATCGGGGGATAATTAGCTTAACTTCAATAAAAGACACAAAACAAGATGTTCCTTACTTTATTCAAAATGAACATGCCGTCTTCGGTTTGTTAGAACAGTTCTATTTAATAATTTGAATTTCTTGAATTTTCTTCCAAGACACTAATACAAATAAATTGCAAAACATAAATAATGACAAAAGCGATGAAAATGAAAAATAAATTAAATATATACCTTCCATTTGCTATTTTTTTCTGACACTGCAACCAACTATGCAAAAATCAAAGTAATATGTGATAACTTATTTACAGTTTTCGACAATTTTCCTCAAAATGAAACAATTTTATGTTTTATCTTTGATTCACAAGCATTCAAATTATACATTAGATATCAATTTACATTTTAATCAAACATACAATTTTTTTTAAAAATGAGGTACTGTTTCTACCCAGTCTTAAATGAATTCTGTAGCACACATTAAAGTTGTATAACAAAATGCTTATATCTCAAAGGTTTTTCCAAAACTAATGAGGACACATAAATGCTCATTAAAGACTTCTGATGTAATTATAAATTCATAATGAAGAATAAGGAAAGGAATGACTCAGTACAAAACCTATTAAGCTAGACATACAGCACTTATTATAAAGCAGGTATGGTTATGGATTCCATTTCATTATTCAGTTGTAGACTTCTTATATATATATATATATATATATATATATATATATATATATATATATATATATATATATATATATAAGATGGTGCAATGAGTACTGTACATAAAATTCATTATAAAACACTCCAATTTTAAAGTGGTGTACTCCATGGCTCCAATGGACAGTTATAATGACAAGAGTACTGTAGACAAAATTCAATAGAAGACACTCCTATAAGATGGTATACTCCATAGCTCCAATGGACAGTTATGAGAGTACTGTAGACAAAAATTCATTATAAGACACTCCTATAAGATGGTATACTCCATATCTCCAATGGACAGTTATAATGAGAGTACTGTAGACAAAATTCATTATAAGACACTCCTATTATAAGGTGGTATGCTCCATAGCTCCAATGGACAGTATTATAATGACAAGAGTACTGTACACAAAATTCATTGTAAGACACTCCTATTAAAAGGTGCTATACTCCATAGCTCCAATGGACAGTATTATAATGACAAGAGTACTGTACACAAAATTCATTATAAGACACTCCTATTAAAAGGTGCTGTACTCCATAGCTCCAATGGACAGTATTATAATGAGAGAGCTCTGTAAATACAATTATAAATTAGTCCACTATACGGTGGCATAGTCGATGACTCCCATGAACAGTTTTATAATGAGAAAGTAATGTATATACAATTCATTTTAAATCAGTCTTACTATAAGGCAGCATGGTTCCAAAGGACAGCATTATCATAAAAATTAATGTACATTGCTTTGGCTGAGTACCTACACATATTTCCTTTTTATTTTTCTCTTCCTTTTATTTTAAAATTGGTATAAACTATCAAAAGCAAAAGGAATGGACATAATACTTGTCTACACTGCTTGATATTTTTCCACTGCTTGAAATTTCTACACTGCTTGATATTTCTACACTGTTTGATATCTCTATAGTTTTCTTCTACTCCTGAGTATTACTGGCATGAATGACCTTGCATATTTGATTAACTTAGTTCATGATGAAAACATACCAGCTGAAAACAAAAGCTATCCCAATTTCTAAAAAAAAATGCTACACTATGAACATAAGTTTTCACAAAAACGTAAATGTCAACACTCTTGAATCTATCATCAAATCAAAAACAATGTTTATTGTTGTCCAAGTTTAATTACATCGCAATCATGGATTCATGTTTATGAAAATGTTTCTAACTGTCATGGTCTAATGACAATAATGAATATACAAAGTTGACAACTGCACTGAAAGGTACATGAACTTAAAAGGTTTCTAGCACTTATACTACCTCATAGTGTGGTTTTATAAATCATGGAATTATGTGAATAAATGCAGTCAATATTTTTTTTTATTTCAATCAGTAGGTCATCAATTTAAAGGCTGATATGAATGTATCATCCTTTAATAGTGAAGACCACATTTAATTAATTCAGTTACTGAGACGGTAGAATATGAATGAAATAAAACCTAGTTTAACATAATAATTTGTGCAACAAGAAAAGGCAAGTCCAAGTACAACTTCATTAAATATTTTTCTTACTATAATCAAATTTTAAAATGTACTCAAAATATCAAAAGTAATGAGAAAAACAAAATTAAAAACTATATTTAGCTCTATGCTTAAAAATCATTTTTTCAAAAATAAATGTTGCTGTCAAATAATGATTATATTTTAGCCAGACAACTAGACAATTTGCAAGGCAGCCAATAAAAGTGCAGTGTTTACAAAACTCTTAAACTGAAAGGAATAAATTTAACAACCCAACCTGCTTCCTTATCTTAACCGTAAATATATAATTAAAACCAACTTGATTTCCCTCTCTGTACCTTAATTTCTCTCAGTTAACAGCTAAATGTATGCCAATGGCAGTGTGCAAGACATAATCTTTAAATAACTTAAATGTAGGTTAATGACAATGTGCTAAATTCAGATGGTAAGACACATTTGTCTTTAAATTGCCTATATGTAGGTCATCAATAATGCAGGTTAGTTGGCAAGACTCATTTAACAGGCAAATGCATGTCAATGGAAGAAACATTTGGTTTTAAATAAACTTAAATGGTGATCTGGAACATTATCAAAAGTTCCATTCTGTTCTCATTCAAATTTGTGATTTTTGAACTGATTTTACTCAATAGCCATCATTTCAATTTCACTTTTGCATTTTCTTATATAAAAGTTCAATACCTCTGTCCATGTTTATGAAAATACCTCTCTTTCATTTTAGATATTGGCTTCAAGAGTAATTTAAAATATCACTGTCAAAATTGGTCAGTAACCAGAAAGGTATAGGTATCAAAATTCCATACAAGTTAACACTGATTAAGGAAGTATATCTTAATTACCTAACCATATCAAAACAACTTGTAAATGAAAAAACACATTGTTTTTTCTCATAATGAACTAAAAATTAGGCCATACAACTTTTCTATACAACCAATTAACAGTAATAGGTGATCATTAAGGTGTTAAGATTCACCTGTAAGTCTCTATTTCAAGTGGTTTCAAGTGGCCAACAGCAATTCTGACCACATTAATGAGCAAACATTTCTTTGGACAGACAAATTCAGACTAATAAAATGGGGTGTAAAATGTTTAAAATGTCCTTAAAATGACCACAGTTATGTAACCAGAAAATGTATAAAGTGCTTAATATCTTAAGATTGGTCATATCTACAGTATGCCATCTAACCACACCTATTGTCTTGTTTGAGCAAATCTCTGTAATGTCAATATAACACTTACCAACTAGAAAGAGCAACATGTCCCTGAAAAAAGTATTTCTGGTTTATGTTCAAATCTGTGCTTTTTGCACAATGAATACAGCCAAGGTTAAAAGTATAAGTACTGATGCATGACACCTGTTAGCATGGTTTGGATACTAAACAAATTAACAACTATGATTATAAATAAAACAAAAGAAACAGAAACACATTATTTCCCATAAGCAGTATGACAGTTTACATGCATGTATATTTTAAAACTATATTAGGTAGGTGATAGTACATAGTGAAAAGCTGAACAAAAAATGCAATCTTTGCTATAAATGTCAACTGTGTGACAGAGATGTGTTTGAGCCATTTTCACAAAACAAAATGAATATTATTCTTAAGATTTTACTGATTCTTCTAAGTTTTCAGTAAGATTCAGAGCATTGTGTCAGCTGCATTATCTAAACCAAAAAAAAAAGAACAGAAACTTGAATAAAAGACAATATCACATGATAATGACAACAGCTCATTTGTGCCAATAGCTTTGGACTACACATTCTTATTCTGTAGTGCAGTTATACTTTTTCCATTCCATGTATATAATTATGCTACAACATAAAATAAACTTAAAAACTTTATATGCATATGTAGTGCAATAAAAGTTAACATTTAAGATATTGCTTCATATTGTCCAAACATGGAATCAGTCTCAGCCATTCTGCCTTTGAGAAAAAGTCTGTTCTCAAACTCAAAAGTTGCATTCTAACCCAATCATTTGTAAAGTATAAGTACTAAAATTCAAATTGAAGATTACTCTTCATTTTAAGGGTCAAAGTTCAAAGGAAATGGACTATCCAACCAAGTGACAAAGTTTGGATCTAAACCCCTGAGTCAGAGTTTGTGCTCAACACAATTTTTAACATTGTCACAACAATGTTGACTCCATGTTATTCACAAAATGAATCTACATTTCTGTTTTGATAACATATAAATAACATTAAGATAACACAATGTTTTTCAGTAATGATATTGAAAATAAAGAAAAACAAAACAAAAAAATCCTTCTAGCAATGTGTGCATCATAAAGGGCCCCACTTTCTACAATTTGCTTGGATACATCTTAAACCGAAGAACTTTATTCTTTTGGAAAACTGAAGTAGTTTTGGATATGGGCATTCAGAGCCACAACTCTTGGAAATGACATGAAATGCTGAAAATCAAACTTAAAAATTTCAT